TTATTTATTTATTAAAGATTTCTGTCTCCCATTTCCCTCTCCCTCCCCCAACCAGGTCCCCCTCCCTCGTCAGCCCATAGATCAATCAGGGTCCCTGCCCTGTGGGATGTCCAAGGACCACCTACCTTCATCCAGGTCTAGTAAGGTGAGCATCCAAACTGCCTAGGCTCCCACAAAGCCAGTACGTGCAGTAGGAGTAGAGCATTTTCTTAATTAGTGGTTGATGGAGGGAGGGTCCAGCCCGCCATCAGTGGTGCCGTTTCTGGGCTGGTGGTCCTGGATTCTGTACCGAAGCAGGCTGAGGAAGCCATGAAGAGCAGACCAATGAGCAGCACCTCTCTCTGGCTACTGCATCGGTTCCTACCTAGAGATTCCTGTCCTATCTGAGTTCCTGTCCTGACTTTCTTTGATGATGAACTATGACATGGAAGTATAAGCCTAAGAATCCCTTTCCTTCGCAATTTGCTTTTGGTCATGGTGTTTCATTATAGTAAAAGAAATCACAAGCTAAGACAATAGTTCTATCAGATCTTGCAAAGAGAAACTATATAGACAATTTGATCTTTCCTCCAATTGTTTGGCTTCTGCATTAATAGTTCAGAGAACTTCTGTCATAATTAATCAGCAATATCATGCCATATTTGGGGAAAACCTATCCCCACATGTGCCTTAGAATAAGGCATAGGTTTGAAGACATTCGGCACTCGCTTACACAGAACTCACTCTTAAGAATTTTGTCAAGTCAGCATTTCTTAGCAGTCCCCAGCAGTCTTCCGTGTGCTGGGAGAATAGGATTTGGCTGTTTCTTTCAGCATTGGCATTTCCTATCAACTTAGCAGGACATTTGAAAAGTTGTGTTCATTATTCTCCCACATCTGATTCCTTTCTGGAAAGAAGTGGGGGGGGGGGGGAATGTAGGACATTCTAATTGTAGAAGCGGCATTATCAACTACATTCTTGGAAGGACGGAACTTCTGTTTCAAATTATCCGCTTAGTGTTTTACATGTTTGATGATTGGAGGGATTTTCCACCGATTAGCTCCTGAGTCTGGACATTCAAGATCCTGCCTTAGTCTCTGCAACCCATACAGTCCTAGGGCTGGGGACAATTTTATGTGGTGAATCAACCTCTGGCCCTCCTGCTTGGTGTCAGGGCATTGTGTGCATCCACACAGTGGGTGGTAAGACTATTTCTAGAAGTTTTTCCCACAAGAGGATGGTTAACAATAGCGCCATTGCTCTGGAGAGACAGCGCATATATAAATTCATGTCAGTGCGCCCAAACTGCCACCGCCAGACATTCTGCTCAATTAGACACACCAAGTGCCAATAGATCCAACACTGCCCCACACAAGGGAATGTAACAGAAAGTAGTATGGAAAGAGACAGGGGCTGTCTGCACAGAGAGAGCACAGAACTGAAGTTTTATTTGTTTCTCAGAAGTCACCCACTGGCCCTCCATGCAGAGTGCTTGTCTTGTAGACTGAGATTTCTTCCCATCTTCTGAAAAGCATTAAATGTGATAACACGCTACATGCTAATCCCCAAACCATGATCCAGGACACAGAGTTTAGAAAACACATGTTTTGTTGCTCAAAGTCTGTCAGAACCCAGGTATGGAATCCCCACCCCACCCCCACTTTTTTTTTCCATGAAGCATTTGGTACCCAAGCAATTGACTTATGAGCTATGGTTAGAAGAATGGTTCTACATTAAGAAAAGTGTTCTGCACCCTAACCCAGACCACCAGAGTGTGGGTCACCCACTTCTATCCTTCCTCAAGTGCTCTAACGAAATGTCACAGACTGGAGATATCTTTCATCTGGCCCAACTCAAGCTCACCACAAAACGAGGTGTCAGACTGAGCTGCTACTAACTCTGAGGAGCTGGAAAATAGCATTGGGCAGAACCCTAGTGTGGGCAGAGGCCCCATGAAAATGTATAGGAACTGTACCCTTGAAATTAATCAGTCTAGGTTCCTTAGAGATCCATCCCTTGTTCCTACAATGGGGCAGTTTTCCAGAGGAAAAAAAGACCATGGCCTCCTCTATCTAGAAAGTATAAGTATACCCAATGACTCTCAGAGTCAAGTCCTATGACACTCAGAAGATGCCCACAGCATCTTCCATGCTGGGTTCAGTCAGTGGCAGTAGCATTCCTCATCACAACCATCAGCTCCTCTGGACCTCTGCAGTCAGGGTTCTCCAAAGATGCAAGACCAAAGGATAGTTGTCATTTGTCTATCTGTATCTTAATCTTATAGGTTATCTCTGTATAAATCCATAAACACAAAGAGACACTTCTGTATTAACAATCATAGAACCCCCCCCCAGTTTCCCAAAACACGTTGCTCTGTGTAACACAAATAATAAAAACATAAAGGCAGATATTGAGGTTCAAGCTAAAGATCAGCAAAGCAAAGCAGCCAACCACGAGAGAGTTCTTACCTCTAACAAGGCTGGGAGATCCTGTCCTCAGTGTGACTGCAGACTGAGTCCCTGAGTTCCTGTCTCCTCCAATCTTATTTCTCTCTCGTGCTGGAATTAAAGTCATGTACCACCATCGTCCGACCTCTATAGCTAACTAATGTGGATAACTTTGCACTCTGATCTTCAGGTAAGCTTTGTTAAAACACAAATAAAATACTGCTATAGCTCTGCAGTTTTGAGTCTGACAAGAGAATGTAATTCTCAAAGATTTCCTTCAGTCTTGATCTATGCAGAAACAGCTTTGATGGTTTCAATTAGAGGTGCTAACTGCAGGAAGGTCTTATAAGAGCAGGAAGACCCAAAGAGTATATGAAGAGGAAGAGAAATGAATGAGAAGGAAGACAGTCTGATCCAGTGATCATGATGTGCTAACACACTTGGGGATGGGTGTGCAGGCTGCTGCTGCTTCTTACCTGCTAGAACATTCTCAGATCCATGCTACAAGGGCTCCCTGGACCTAAGGCAGGCATTCCCAAATAGGTGCTACCCTATTCAGGTAACTAGAAGCTAGGGTCCCCTTAAGTCTCATACAGCCACAAGATCTATACTGTCAGAACACAGTCCTCCAGCTTCTCCCTCCACTCACAGCCCAAGTCTTCCATTGGCATATTCTAAAGAGACTCTTGTTTGCAAGGGAGCTTGGGAAATGTAGTCTGAGCATGCATCTCTAGCTATAGGCACTGTGTCTTGTGCTATATGGGGACTGTTGAAGCTACTGTTCCTAAAGATCTTCATAGTGTCTTCATGATTCTCTTTGCATCATTTTTATCAAGGCAGAAACAAAGTTGAAATAATTTAATCTGTTGCCAGGCAACTCCCTTTCAGTTCAGCATACGTCTTACTGCTTCAGGCAGTGTTCCTTTATTTCTTCAGTGATAGGGTACTGGTAGGTTTTAAGGAATTATATATACACCTACAATACCATTAGGGTTTTCTTTGTGGGGGAATATTCCTTTCTAAAAACATGCTGATTTTTATTACCCTGGGCAGTGCCTCTATGAAGCTGAGGAAGGAAGGAACATGTTTGTCTTCCATACCTCCTTGGGAGAAGCCCAGTTTACACCATCTCTTTTACAGGCTTTTCACTTTCCGCTTGGAAAATCAAGTAAACTTGATGTCTCCAATGGAGCATTCGCATCATCTTCTCTTGCTTTCCAATGAATTTATAGAGATTGTTAATCATATTCTACTTTCATATCTATTCCCTGATTGGGGAGGGGGAGATGTATTCAAGCTAGCTGAAGACTCATGGATTTTGGATGTGACAAGTCCACACCAGGTGGCCTCCGTTTTCTCCTTACTTGCCGAAACTGACATGCAAATGCACATCTCTACATCTGCACAGAGAGGCTGAGCTTCTTCCACTGGCTCTCCCGTGTGGATGGCTGCTATCCTCTTTGAGATCTTCATCTATCTAGAGAGTCCTGTTTTGACTTTCCCCAGTTTCTCCATGCAGCCTGCTGCCCTACCTATAGATGAAGGCACGTGGGGCAGAGAAGTTCAGGAGCCTGCCTGCCAAAGTCTTACTGGAGACAGCCACCAAACCCAGAGGCACTGGTCCTCATATTAGAGCAGTGGCCACACTCTCAGCATCGCTCTCACATCCAGGGTGCTTGTGTGGTGTCCACTTTCTAGATGACCATGATATGACCGTGGAAAAGCGGCTGAACTCTAAAAACTGTGTGATACCTACATTCTAAAACAGCATACTGTGTGTGTCTGTTCACAGTTATACTACCATGCTGCTAACTGACCTGCTTTCACAGGCCCAGCTCCCTGCTACACTGAGTCAAGTCTGCAGAACCAAACAGTGTGTCTATCTCAAGGCCATTCTAAAGGCGTGACCCTGAGCTGGATCACTCTACCAAATCAACTTGGCTTGCTATTTTGGAGAACAAAATACTCTGTATCATTTCATGTTCTTTAGTTATGATATTTATATTGTAACTAGCATATAAAAGAATGGTATTCTGATTATCCTCTTTTTATACAAATGCAGCCTGTGTTTTCTATATAGTCCTCCTCCACAGCCTCCTTCCTTCCTTCTCACTGGGCCTTTCCCTCCTCACTGCTGCTTTCATGTCATGTGTATACGTAAATATTTTTAAAAAAATCTAGATTCCACATATAACCAGAACCATCTGTTATTTTGTCTTCCCCTATCATCCTCTTGTTCATGCCCCTCCCCTTCCATTATCTTTCATGTCCACAAACCAAGCAAAAAATAGCCTATTTTTTTTTAAATCTCCTTTCTATTTACTTTGTTTTCAGCTATTTTTCATACCCGTACATTTGGAGAGCAATAGTTAAAACAGGAGTGAGCATTTTCTGCTATTCTTTCAGTGCAGGAACCGAGAAAGAAGCAAGCAAGATCCACACTTGGTTGAGTGTTTTAGGGTTCCCTTAACCAAAAATGCTAATATTGGGATGGAGAGATGGCTCAGCAGTTAAAGTACTTGTCTCCAAAGCAAGGGGACCAGAGTTTGGATCCCCAGAACTCATGTAAACTCCAGGTGAGCATGGCAGCCTTCTAGTAATTCCAGCTTGAGGAGGCAGAGATGGGATCCCCAGAACAAGATGTCTGGGGAGACTACTAGCCTTACTGGCTGACAGGATCTCTCAAGGATCCTTCTGGGGCTCTTCTGTCTGCCACTGATTTAGAATTTGGTCTGGGTAATCTGAAACAGAGTCTTTGATTTCCTTCAGAACCAAACGGGCCTGTCCACACGATGACAGATCTTTCATGATAAGCCATAGGTCCTAGCAGAAAAGAAGCCCTTCTTGTGTTGTTCTTGTGGAGGGCAAACTCTGAGATAGTTCTGTGACCAAGTGTTCGCTTCCTCCACCCAGTTAACTGTCGTTTCCTTTTGGGAAACACATCTGTGCTTATTTAATTGAAAACATTCTACATATGCAAGCTAATAAGAACAGCCAGCAGCTTTCGCAGTGGCTTTTTTCTTTTTCTTTGAGTTAATGGTGGACTCTGCCCATACTTCTCAAGTCTGTTCAGAATTCTGGAGGGCCACAGGCAGACAAGACTTGGTGTCAGCAAACGTTCCGGTGTTTGCAGATCTTGATGAGTGTGGATACCTGCAATGAATGAGGCAGAGGTGAGATGTTGATGAGCTGGCTTTTCAGGGGCTTGGTTAACAGGGGAAGCTGGGAACTGGAGAGCCACTCTCCTAGTCTAGAAGCAGTCACTGGAGTTGGTGTGAGTGGCCTCACGTAGCATCTTCCTGATCACTCTCTTGACAGACAACAGTTTCTAAAGCTGCTGATTTCACACTGTAATAGAAAGGGTGGGGCTGCTTAGAAGGGAAACTGGGGGAGGAAAGAGTAGTCTAGAATGGACCGAAGCTCCAGCCATGCAGAACCACTTTAGGATTTCTAGTCATCAAAGCCCTGAAAGGAAATTTTTATCCTCGGAGCCTTTTGGCACCTCTAAATCCAGATTCAGCAGACCAAACTGGTATTCTCATAGTATCCTGGACTAAGGATCAGAGTGTTTCTCAGTCTGGATTCCAGAAAGCAGTGCTTCATCAGGGCTTCTCAGAGGCCCTGGAGACAGTCCAGGCATTCAGTCTTCCCTCCCCTCCCCTCCCCTCCTCTCCCCTTCCCTCCTTTCTTCCTTCCTTGCTTTTCTTTTTTTCTTTCTTTCTCCCTCCTTCCTTTCTTTTTCTTTCCTTGCTTTCTTTCATTCTTTCTGTCTTCCTTTCTTTCTTCCCTTCCATGTTAGCTCCCCACATGCTTACGTGACACCTGGATAAGCATTTCATGCACATGTGTTTCTGCAGCACAACATTTAATGAGAATCACACAGACATATTTTTGAGAGCTTTAGAACAGATCAAAGGACCAAAGCAGACATCTCCAGGCAAAGGGTAGGGTCAGTCCTTGGGGAGAGCTCACATCCAGACCTAGAAGGATCTCTGCCTGGAAGGGTCTTTAATGGCTCAGGAAATGTCTTCCATGCTAGAGAGAGCAGCTATCCCTTCTGCTGTTATGTAGGACGGACTACCATTTCAAACTCAGATTTTAAAAAGGTTTCCTTTTGCACTTCCTGCAATGTTACTCCTCACTATATGCCCTCAGCCAGCTTGTTTCCACTCTACAATATTCCTCTCCACCCCCCCCCCAGGGGACCCGCATCATTCAGGGCAAGTGGCTCTGCTTCTACGCTCTCCAGAACTTTCCCGATAGCTTTTCCAGGTGGAATCGTAAGAGGCCCTGTCTTATTGATTTCCCCATCCAGTTCAGTACCTGTTAGGAGCTCTCCCAAGAGATCATCAACTGATTAAATCAGGGGATGAATGAATAATTGAGAAGTTGTTCTCTGCACTCGAATTTCTGGTAGATATAATAATTCTGTGACTGTCTCACCAACTCTCTTCCATTTCCCAGTAAAGCACTCAGAAGAGAGCTTGCTTCAAGGATTTGCAAATCCTCCCGAGTCTTGGGGTCAGAACAATGGAATCCATCTGAAATAATGGCTCTAAAGTCAACTGCCCAACTGCTGAGCAGAATTTTGGTGTGAATAAATCCTCTTCCAGGTCTATACGTTAGGGACCAGTAGGTGTGACTTTTTCCATGGCGTTTTAGACAAATGTCTGCTTCCCCAGACAGAACACTGAGAGCAAACCAAAGAAGCAAGCACACCTAATCACATTGGTGAACCAATGATCCTACTGGAGTTACATTACACATAAGTGGGCAGATCACTCTGAGACAAGTGTCACTGAACAGCCCCACCCAGCCAAGAGGACTCTGGAGCTCAGGCTGCCCTTGGCTTTCCTGCCTCAGGCTCCCAAGTGTTAAGATTTCAACAATGTCCCACTATACACAGCTTAATTTCTGTTCGCTTCTGGTGTCCATTTTTAATGTGCTTTACTCTGTTGTCTGTGATGTATATCTGGTAGCCATTTTTAATGCTCTACCTTCTTTTGTTGTTGTTGTATAAATTACACATGTGTGTGTGTGTCTAAGCACATGTGATCATTTGATATACATTTTTATATTCTACAAATCCTCAAACCCAGTATAGCCACAGTTGTATTCTTTAAGATAAATTTATTTTTTGTTTTGTTTTTTGAGACAGGGTTTCTCTGTACTTTGGAGCCTATTCTAGAACTTGTTCTGTAAACCAGGCTGGTCTCAAACATACATATATCCACCTGTTTCTGCCTCCCAAGTGCTAGGATTAAAGACGTGTGCCACCACCACTTGGTGATAGATTTATTTTAATTTTATGCACATGAGTAATTTGCCCAGATGTATGCCTGTGCATCACATGTGTGCCTAGTACCTTTAGAAGTCAGATGAGGAGGTCAGAGGTCCTGGAACGGAGCTGTGGTTGGCTTTGAACCACCATACATGTGCTGGGAACTGAACCCAGGTCCTCTGCAGGAGGCACATGCTCTTAACTGTTGGAACATCTCTCCTGCCTCTGACAACTGTATCCTTCAGTCTGCACGGACCCCACAACCCAATCCTCTGTCTCTGTTTGCTGGTCCAGCCTCTGCCTCTTGCACTCCCCATAGTTGGAGACATCACAAGGACAGCTTGTCGATAAGTCCTTCCATACCAGTGGGTGACCTCAAACCAAGACTGGACCTGCAAACATTTCTGAGATAGTTCTAGACTCCTCTACCCAGGGCCTCCTGAGGGATGGACTGTGAAGGATCAGTGGCCTGAGATCTGCAGACAGCCAAATTCGAAGGCACATTTTAGTACAGGAAAAGGTAAAATTCCTGTGCTAATGTCCAGGGTCCCAATCCCCGAGGGTGAGGCTGCAAGGATTCCTGTTTCTGCCAGTAAAAGATTGTGGCGGTGTCTTTCTTACTTAGAAAATGAATCCTTGGGAGCCTTTCTCTCCTCTTCCCACTGCACCCTTCCCTATTCCTCTCCCCTGAGATTTAATCACCTTTTCCAGACCTGGCTTCTCCGCATCCATTACTGTGGTGTTTGTTATTTTTCTCAGCTCAGCAACACAGCAGCGGGGATGGTGTTTGCTCCGTTGGCCTTGCAGTGGCACAGCTGGGCAAGCCCTGCCCTGCACTAACATTTCACACCACTGAGGGTCTACCTACCAGGGAAGCCAAAAGGAAGGGATTGTGGGCAAGAATTTCTAAGTACATGAGTCAGGTTCCTGTCCCTGGGAAGCCCGCAACTGCCACCCATGGACCCCAGTACGATCTTATTCTTGATCCCCAGGAATGAACCAGGAGACAGCAGGTGAAACAAATATCTCCCCATGGGAGCTATTTCTGTGGAGTTCCCCATGAACAGCAAGCTAGCTGCTCATGTTCCACATATAGCTATCTTTGTTTTTGAGTTCTCCTGAGCAGCCAAAGGGTCACAGTCCCAGTGTCCCAAGTCCACGGTATTAAGTTATGGTTAATAAGACCCTATCCAGACTATTGTGCTGAGGACTGGCCTTCAGGCTTGTGGTTTTGTTTTTTAACTCCAGCCTGAGGTCTGGAACAAGGTTAACCACCTGAAACAACAGAATTTGCCTGATCTAAAGTGATCTATCTCCCCAGTAAAGATTGCTCTCTGTTAGTTTTATTTTCACATTTAACATGAGTGTTAGCATGTTCCTGCCTCCCTGCATGGGTCTGTTTATTGCACCTTGATTCTCTGTTACATTGCTGAGCCTTGTTTTCCTCTGGGTTGGGGAAATTTTCAGTGTTTATGAGGACCAAAGACACCCCCTTTATTTTGAAACTGCTTCTCTACCATCTACCCCAGTAAACAGTTTCTCTAAGCATTTAGTAACTTGAGGAGCCTGACTGCGCAGTGAGCAGACATGGCCATGATGACAGTTTATAAAATTCCCATATGAAGAAGGAATGGGTCGCTAGGCAGTCTGTATTCAGCACGTTGGAAAATGTATGGAGGATGGGTGCTTCTCACAGAGGTCAGCAGCCAAAGGATGCAAATTCCTGGACCCTACTCTGAATCCCTTGAACTAAAAATTCACTGGAGATTACTCAGTGAGTCTGGGGAGAAAGCTTAAGCAGAAAGCCTACCCAAGTGTCAAGAGTCAAGTCCGAGCTGCACAAAATGCAACCATGTAAAAAATCACACATGGCGTGATCTTGTAATCCCAGCACCAGGAAGATGGAGACAGGAGGATCTCTGAGGCTCATAGGCCAGCCAGTCCAGCTAGTCTGCTATCCCCAGGTCTTAGTGATCGGCCCTACCTCACAAAACAAGGTGGAAGACACCAAGGAACGGTACCTGAAGGTGGCCTCTGGCTTACACACACACACACACACACACACACACACACACACACACACGTGCATCTTTTCAAAGGAACAACAACAACAACACACACATACACATCCTGTGTAGAGCCTAGCATCATGGTGGGGCAAGCAGCTTAATAGGTAAATTGACTGCTTGTCCTGCAAGCCTGCAGACCTGACTTTGATTACTTAGAACCTACATCAAGCCAAGAGTCCTATGGCACAATTTTAATCCCAGAGCTGCCACAGGAAGAGGGGAGGAGAGATGGAGAATCTCTGGGAGCTCACGGGCCAGACAGCCCAATGTGCACAGCCGACAGCCACAGACCCTGTGTGAGATCAGCTGCAGGGTGAGGCCTGCCACCTGAGGCTATCCTCTGACTCTCTGACTCAGGTATGCTCGCACTCCATGGCCCATGTGCCTACTCCAAATATGACCCTTCCCTCCACCCAGACACACACAATGGCAATCACGAAAAAGAGTGGTCCTATGGTCTGCGAATGGTTTTAGAGATACCACAGATGGGGTGCTTTTATCTTGGCAGCTGTGGAGGAATGAGAATAGCCGATTACCCTCACTTTGTCCAAGTCAGCCGAGCGTTTACCAGGAGTGAAGTGCTGTAGGAATCTCACTTGGAGGAAGAGCACAGTCTCTGTATTGAATGAGTTTCCTAATATTAAGTTTTGCATTTGTTTTTAGCTTCATTAGGAACTAGGGGAAGGGTTAGTTTTCCCTTTGGATTGACACATATAGAGTGACAAACAGGACACGGTCATGGGACGTGTGAGCATCTGGGGAAGGTAAGGGTGATTGCTTTGGAAGAGATTATACATGTCTTT